TAATGAAAAAGGGAAAAGAAAGAAAGAACGATACGAAAGAAAGAAAGAAAGAAAAAAAAAGAAAGAAAGAAAGAAATAAAGAAAGAAAGAAGGACAAAAAAGTTTAAAAAAAAGAGAAAAAAGAAAGATGAAAAGCCTGTGAGGAAAAAAGTAAATGACATAAAATAAGCAAGAGTAAGTAAATGAAAAGTGAATAGAAAGAAAGAACGAACGAACAAACGAAAGAAAGAAAGAAAAAGAAAGAAAGAAAGACAAAAAAGTTAAATAAAAGAGAAAAAAAGAAAGATGAAAAGCCTGTGAGGAAAAAAAAAAAGAACTCCAAAAGAAAGCAAGAAGTTAATGAAAAAGTGAAAAGAAAGAAAGAAAAAAAGAAAGAAAGAAAAGAAAGAAAGAAAAAAAAGTGAAATAAAAAGAGAAAGAAAGAAAAAGAAAGAAAGAAAGAAAGAAAGAAAAACTAAAAAGTGAAATAAAGAGAAAGAATTCAAAAAAGGTTAAATAAAAGAAAAAAGAAAGATGAAAAGCCTGGGAGGAAAAAGTAAATGAAAAGAAAAATAAGCAAGAGAAAGTTAATGAAAAGTGAAAAGAAAAAGAATGAAAGAAAGAAAGAAAAAAAAAAAAAAAGAAAAAAAAGAAAGAAAAAAAAGAAAAAAAAGAGAAAGAAAGAAAGAAAGAAAGAAAAAGAAAGAAAAAAAAGAAAGAAATAAAAAGAAAGAAAGAAAGAAAGAAAGAAAAGAAAGAAAGAAAGAAAGAAAAGCTAAAAAGTGAAATAAAAGAGAAAGAAAGAAAGAAAGAAAGAAAGAAAGACTAAAAAGTGAAATAAAAGAGAAAGAAAGAAAGAAAGAAAGAAAGAAAGAAAGAAAGACAAAAAGGTTAAATAAAAGAGAAAAAAGAAAGATGAAAAGCCTGGGAGGAAAAAAGTAAATGACTCAAAATAAGCAAGAGTAAGTTAATGAAAAGTGAATAGAAAGAAAGAACAAACGAACGAAAGAACGAAAGAAAGAAAGAAAGAAAAAGAAAGACAGAAAGAAAGACAAAAAAGTTAAATAAAAGAGAAAAAAGAAAGATGAAAAGCCTGTGAGGAAAAAAAAGTAAATGAATGAAAGAAAAATAAAAGAAAAGAAAGAAAGATAAGTAAATGAAAAGAATAGAAAAAAGAAAGAAAGAAAAGAAAAGAAGAAAGAAAGAAAAGAAAGAAAGAAAAAGAAAAAGAAAGAAAGAAAGAAAGAAAGAAAGAAGAGAGAAAGTTACAGATGGAAATGAATGAGATGAAATAGAGGTTAATAAATTTGAAGAAATAGAGGAAAGAAGTTATGAAGAAGTTAAAAAGAAGAGAAATTTGATAAAGAAAGAAGGAAAGACAAAGAAAAAAAAAGAAAAAAACAATGAACGAGGAAAAGAACGAGAAGAAAAAGTGACTCAAAATTAATGAAAATATAAGGGAAAGAAAGAAAGAATGATATCATAAAAGACACTAAAGGTGTCAGAAAGAGGAGAGAAAAACCAAAATCCGATTTAAAATTAGTTTTTAAAATTAGAAACAAAAATATATTCGAATAGTAAACTTATGACTTAATATAGTAAATGTAAACAAATATTTGTAAAAAGAATGAGAGAAAGAAAAACGTGAAAAAAATTGCGAAAGAAAGAGTTAAGCAAAAACAAACAAAAAAGAAAATGAAAAAAATTACTGAAAAAATAAATTATACCCCAAACTAAATATTATTACAAATTGGTCTTTTCAGAATAGCGTCCCATTTCTTGGATGTTAAAGTTACAAGGTTTCAATCAATGTAGTGTTCTGTGTTTTAAGATCAGTTAATTAATTCAAGAGATCAATGTATAAAAGTTACCATTCTTTATCTCAAATATTTAAACAGAAGTCAACCCGATTTGACGAATATCGATCGTTATTAATATAATAAACATTTAGACGTTGTAAAAACAGGGCTGGAATTAAAAAAGATAGACAGATTATAAAATATAAGTGAAGGAAATTTATTTTGCGGAGTGCGGAACTTACAAGGAAGTGAAAAGAGAAATCACTTCATCAGTTTTCATTGACCAAAGCACGACCATCCAACATAGTTGGTTTTCTGAAGCCAGAGGTCACCCTGAAGGAGAAGCCTTTAAACCAAATTGCAGACGGTAGATACCTTAATCACTCAGCTGTCTATCATTCAAGCTCTCTCTTTCTCTCTGTCGCGAGCGCGTGAACACAAACACACACAAATATATATATTCTATCTTATAGAGATGAGCTAACAGCAGTTTCTTGCCCTGTGTTAAATGCTTTTTATGGCATTTTAAGAATCTAGTCGTAACAGAATTGAAAAATTTACTGAAGTAAACATCCCCGAAGGGTAATGACCTGGTTGTATTTTTTTTTTTTTATCACGTTGGGAGATTAGAGGCCGGACAATGCTTGGCCTGAAGGTAAATTATAAAAGCCCAACAAATTTCCTTGCCTAGAGCAAAGTAAGTTATGTCCGTAAGGTTGACC